CGTCCTGGACGCCGACGAAATTACCAGATAGGACTCTACATACATCCATTGCTATTCATGTTCTGGACGGTGACGAAATTACCAGATGGAACTCTACATCATCCCTTGCTATTCACGTTCTGAACGGTGACGAAATTACCAGATAGGACTCTACATACGTCCCTTGCTATTCACGTTCTGGACGGTGACGAAATGACCAGATAGGACTCTACATACCCCCCTTTATACCAAGTAGGGATATTCGATACCTACCAAACATAAAGAACACTTATGTTAGTATTAAACCATCACTGTCACAAAAAAATTCTATCCCCAATATTTCTCAAACATAATTGAGGTACATGCACATTAAATATCAGAAAAAAAATTCAATAACTGATGAAATAAATCACTTTTTATGTTCATTTTCCAAGCTGAGTAAGTCACAATTCAGGAAAAAATCAATTTAAACTTGTAAATATCATAAGGTGGGCCATAGAGATGCATTTTTCGAGAAAAATGTAAGAAAATGCTTCAAATCTCGAGAATGATGACATGTATTTTGATTGGATATTTTACAATAATTCATAAAGCTAACAAGACTTTTGATACAAGTCAAGCCATATTACCTGAGTGAGAACCTGCTGTAGTGAATGGTGTACAGTTAATGCTAACGGAATGCGTTATTGAATTTGATATACAGTTTGGTGTGTAAGCCATATTGGAATGACCTTAATAATCTTGGTTTTATGATGTACATGTATAATATTTTTGTTCATTGCTCTGTCCAGTCTATCGGGTTGTTATGATATGTCAGTTGTTATTGTCACGTGACTTCATAGACAATTACAATTATGTCACGGCTCCTCCGTAATGTCTACCTCAGCCATAACAAGAGGCCCATGGGCCTTAACGGTCACCCCAGTCCTACAGTATTTATTCTTGTTGTTGAAATATGAAGTGGAGATAATGATGTCAATCATCCCTACCAATTTGAGTAAAAAATAGTATAACGATAAGTTAAGTTTGTCAGGACCATAAGTTGATCATTCCTAGACCGAGTTTCATTTAAAATATGCCTATTAGAACTTGATTTTAAGTTTGAAATAGCTTTCTTTCAAAATGGCGGCCATATTGGAATTTTTATCAACCCAAACAAAGAAAGAACACATTGCTAGGACCATGAGTCTATCATTCCTACCAAGTTTCAGTTAAATCGGTCCAGAAGAACTGGACTTTAAGTTTGAAATAGTTTCTCAAAATGGTGGCCGTGGTGGCCATGTTGGATTTCTGATCGACCCTAAAAATAACAACACTTGGTCAGGAAGACGTCAGTCAAATTCCCATGAAGTTTTAATGAAATCCCTTCGACAGTATTTCAGCTTAAGTTGAAAATGTAAAATGTTAACAGATGACGCACGACGAACGACTGACGAAGACGGATAGCAATAGGTCACTTGAGCTAAAGCTCAGGTGACCTAAAAAAGTGAATATTGCTGTTCTGATGACAGCTAGCCTAGATAGCCGAAACATGTAAACCGTTTATAAAATACGGAATCGATATGTTAACACTCCATTTTATATATCCTTTGTAATCTGTTTTACAATAATTCTATGAGGGCGTGCTATTGTGTTGTTCCGATTAGTCGACGTCTGGTTGTTTGTTTCTGAAAATCGATTAATCGATCCTTGTTTTCCATAATCGGATATATAATTATAGTTCAACTAATTTAAGTATTAACAAAAAATAAACTTGGATACTGTTATTACCGCCGACAGCAAGTTGTTCATTCTTGGGCAAAACAACTTGACCGAACGTCCCACACAACGACGACGCTGATTGGCTAGCTAGTCCAACCGACAACCAAATAGAACTTGCGTTTTAATAGAAATGCTGCATGGCTCAGTCAGTGCGTGACAATATGGCAAACCAGGACAATCATCGGGGGGGGGCTACAGATTTTAAACGTTTGGAAGGTATTGGTTCTCCTTAGCTGGATATAATTAAAATGCTTTGTCGGAAGTGTGGGCTATCTTACAAATAAAATGTTAAGTTTGACAAGGTGTCATCAGGTGAATTTCAATCCATGGCGCATTTCTGAATACAAGATGCAGCCGTCACAGCATAATGGACATTGCAAACATCATCCATTTCATTTCCAAACACATATTTTTCATTAATTATAAGGTTCTGTCAACAAACATATTGTTTTTGTATGAATGTTGTGCGTTATTAGCGAAATTCTCTAATGTCAGGTTTTCCCCGGAATCAAGTGAAAGTAGTTTTGGAAAGCAAATATAAACTTAAATGACTGAATTACAGTTAATTTGATCGATCATCAGTCGATCATCAGTCACTTGATTGGAAATGATGATCGAGTATGTGATTCTTAACAACAGCGTGCTACCAATTCTCTGAATATGAAATGCTGATTTTTTACAGTCATCCATTTACAAGTTGCATTATATTTAAAGACCAGTGGAGTATATCTGCTAGGTGCCACCCATTTGAACTTTGTTTGACTTTTGTTTTTAAGTTATCATTCACAGTAGCAAAATTTTATTTTCAATAACTATGACATTGACCTCTAAATGACAACCCCTAAATCAATAGGATTATTCGATTTCTTAATCAGGGTACCCTTCACATCAAGTAGTAACTTTGTATAATAATTTCTTCTCCATTTGTCATCTGGACAAGCCCAACCAAGCAGAATTCTATTTTAAGCAAAAAAGACCTTGAAATCTAACAACCAATGCAACCAACCTTGAACTTAAACATTCAGATTCAAAAAGTTCACTTAAGAACTCTTGGTATGATAGCCATGTAAGAAGCTGGAGTTTGATCAGCCAACAAGAACATGTCACACGAGTTGTTTCTAGATTATAAGTAGCAGTCACTTGACCTTTGTGCTTCAGATATGAAAACAATTTCAAGCAAATATATTTTATAGTGAAGCAGTACTAGCGTTTTTAAGTTTGAGTTTGAGAACTTGAGTTATACTGGAGTTATTGTTTAATGTCTAACTTTCTTTTTAGATCACATGATTTGAGCTTTGACCTTTGATCTTCCAACCTGAAAAGCAAGCCCAGTTAAGTGAGGAACACACTGACATTTGCATAAATTTGGCTCGTAGGAACTAAAGTCGCTAAGAAATGATGTCAGAATAGACAGTTGAGCATGATGACAACATCCCCTCTAATTTCGAATGGAACGGCCTGCCCCAGTATTGACATGCCGAGTTCTGTAAAGTTAGTTTTCATGTATTCTTCAATGTACACCAATGATGCATTTAAATGTCATCCTCCTATGACCTTTTGTTACATCATTCGATTTGACAATTCCAAGCTGCTTCATCCCCTGGTAAAGTAGTACATGTATATGAAAGAAAATCCATGATTTGAATTTTTTTCAGATTGATTTCTATATGGCAGGCCTGGAAGGTTTATGGTGTATTTCTGGTCTCCAATCCTATTTTTATTGTTATTACCTCCCCTAAGGCTTTTAAGCCGAAATTCCACTTGTACTGTTAAGTCAATATCCTTGTTCTATATAATTAAGATATATAATGACACAGCACAATGAAAGTATTGCCCTTCTTATTGACAGGTTGTTTATATAGCAAAACATTTTGGAATTTAGGAATGCTATCTAATCATTTTTAGGAAGGTGTTGCAGATACCTAAGTGGATAGAGTTTGGATGTCTGGAGGTCCAACCAAGACTTGCCCCCACTGACCAATCCATGAATGACTTGTCTATCTCATACATATTCTATTCCTATTGTAATAATATTTTACTGGTGATTTGTCTGTTTTACTAGTAATGCACTAGTCATCAAAAAATTCAATGATTGTTTTAAATCCTACCCTTCAGACAAGTATGTGAATGCTTTCTTGCATGGAATTAAACAGGTTGGGCACAACAACTCATTTGGTAAAAATCCTGCATTTGGGTAAGTTACCCATTTGAGTAACAATTTTATTCCTGAAATAGGGAAATGAAATTGCCTTCCTACCTGCTCTATTTTTTCTGAGGATGTAGTTGAAACAAACGTTATTATTTTTTTGGCCTTACAACATTGAAAGAGATAGTCAGTGACAGTCACATAAAGGGACATAACTCAGTAATTTTGTCTTTAACATTTTGAAATGTTAAGTCACAGATATGACCGACTCCAATGAATATCTTTATAAACCTATGAGCAACAATACAGAAACAGAGAGTTGTCAGCTCTCAATGAAGTGCTCCAAACATTCGGAAGATAATATTTTGGCACACTTTTATTTGATACCTCCATCCTACACCCTATATATATAAGAGAATAATATAAAGAATCTATAAAGACTGTTAAAAATCTGATCAAGAGGGTTGAATTATTTTGTCTTTATTTCAAAATGTTTATCAAGCTCCTAGTTCCCATACTTAAAACGGATGACTTCTCCAACTGTGCTTTGCTTATTTATTTCACATTAAAACATAGTCGTCAGATATATCGGTGGATTATAGGAGAGTGCACTCGCCTTTTATGAAAACAGCACATGTTACCTTCTTCTATTGGATGTGAAAAGGTTTGGGGTTACCAGCCCTACCCCGAGGGGCTTCTCGCAGTAATCTTGCTTCTTCCAATATAAAGACACTTCCATCCAGGACAACAAGATTACTTGATATGAGTTCATAAACTTGATTCATAAAAAATCCAGTCTTAATTCATTGCAAACATATGACACTAAATTTGACAGTGAAATCAATACTTTTACAAAGGTTATCCCTAATAAACATGTACACTTAATTAAATTGTACCCACTATTGTGAAATGACCACTTTTTTCCTAATTTCTGCAGATTTATCTTTATCCTATGTATAATGAGTCACTATGAACCTGTGTGTACGTGAGGGAGAAACATCTACACTTCACCCCCAAGTATAGGTACTAGCCATAACTCGGGTCTGGCACATGCAACGATAATATCCATATGGCATCATGATATAGGGTAAACTGATATAGAGTCACTGCATACCTCTGACAATGCATTCGGTTTCTTGTTCATTGGTTTGGGCTTGATGACGATGACTTCTACGGGCCCATCCGTCTTCCCAATCATTTCTGATAAAAAAACACCATGTTAACAGATTTAAAGTATTCAGTCAGAAACAAAATAAAGATAACACGAACCAATCTCTAATATTAAATATCATGGAACACTGACTCCATATCAACGACATACAGCTATAACAAAAAGTAATACATTTTTCCCAATTTTTAAGTTGTTTTTCAGTAAATTTTCCCAAAATAATATTGCATAAAATGTGGGAAAATCCTAGGAACAGTTTTTTTGACAATACTCTAATCTTTGAATTTGTCCAGACACAAAATGTCATACAATGAACACTTTTAATATCAAATAAACATGCAACATCTAATCGATGTCATCATATTTGTCTTGAGCATCAATAACATTTGCTTTTTAGGAGGGGTAGTACATGGCCATTTATTGTAATTCATAAAAGAAAAACAGCTGGTAGAGATGAAGAGAATATTAACAACTCCATCAGCCCAAATAAACTGGGGAAAAAAATTCTTTTGAGTGATATGTTTCAAATTTAGTATAAGACATATATCTATGTGTCAAAAAGTGTAAAAACAAGCAAATTCGTGAAATGTATATCCCCGCTTGCAGGACATTCTGTAGGTTAACATTATTGAGGTTAAGTTTAAACATGCGAGTATCGTGCTGTTAGTCATAATGTATAGCTTGAAACTTGGAGAAAAAAGCCCTAACCTCATTAATTATCCGTAAATCACATCAGTTGGCAAACTTAGCATGAGTAGGATGTGCATACGGAATTTGGTTGAAACATCTAAACAATATCTACAGCAATTATCACATGAAAACCAAAGGGTGCCCGCGATGGGTGCAAGGACAGAGTTACACAAACATTGTTATCAAGTTTGAAGGAATTTGACTAATACTTGCTAGAGTTATTAAGCGGAAACTCATCGAACTTGGCCAAGCCCTTATGGCATTTAACCCTGTGACCAAGTTTGAATAAAATTGATTATTATTTGTTGCAGTTATTGAACGAAAACGAAACCCAGCAGATAATGACGTTTTTCGTTATTCAACTAACTTGACAAGAGGCCATAACTCCGCCAAATGGGGTCTGCTGAAAATGGATTAACATTTGTTGTAGTTATTGCACGGAAACGAAATGCAGCAGATAATGATGTTTTTCTAATTCATGTGGCCATAACTCCGCCAAATGGGGTCCGCTGAAAAATTGTCATCAAAATTGGCCGAGCCCTTAAGGCATGTCAATCTGATTAAAATCATATGTTACATGGCTTCGTTAACTTCGTACTACGCCTGAACATCTGAGTGTGCCGCAGTCAGGGTCACGTTCAGGTGACCTTTTTATTTATAAATACTCAATAAATTTTGACCAATCAGAGACCCTCTTTCGAAAGGGCGCTCGGAGTTGTAACAAATATGGCGGACATTGATGAGAATGATGCGAAAGTTCTGAAGTTATTAGAGATTGATCGTCTGAAACCATAACAGAAAAAGATATTCAAAGTTTTATTATAGAAGAAAGACTGTATGGCTGTGTTGCCTACGCAATTATTATCCAATGGGTACGTTTTCCTTGGCGTCGTAAAAACGTCAGTTCCCGCCGCCATATTTGTTTTGGAAAACTAATCTGTTCGATACCCCTCGCTATTTATCTATCAACCATGATATTTCGATTCGCTGGCAAACTTTTGCCAGTGCGCCTCTGATTGGTTCATGTAAAGGTCACTTGAACGTGACCCTGACACATTCAGATGTTCAGGCGGAGTCATGTAACAGATAATTTTAATCAGATTGAAGGCATGTAACCCTATGACCAAGTTTGAAGAAAATTGATACACATTTGTTGTAGTTATTGCACGGAAACGAAATGCAGCAGATAATGACATTTTTCGTTATTCAAGGGGCCATTACTCTGCCAAATAGGGTCTACTGAAAGTGGTCATCGAACTTGGCCGAGCCCTTATGGCATTAAACCCTGTGGCCAAGTTTGAAGAAAATCGGTTAACATTTGTTGTAGTTATTGCACGGAAATGAAACGTGACAGACAGACGGACAAACCCAAATTTATATCCCCCGTTTTGGTGAAAGCTAAGGCTGTGGATGAAAGGTTTGAGGGGAGTGGTGGTTTCTAATTTATACTTGTACAGTAGTATCACAACAAATCTCTGTACAATATCAAAACAAATCTCTATACAATATCAAAACAAATCTGTCAAAACTGGTAATTATGTAAATTTTAATAAATTATCTAAACAAACAAAAAATTAAAAAAAACAAGTTTCGCGAGTTGGAAAAGCCGATTATACACTGATTATTAGACGACACGAAACTGGGAGAAACCAACGTGATGAAGATCGCCATTATCCGTCAAAACCGGTGACGCCTGTATTATTGCCTTTTGTAAACACAAGCCAAAACGACATTACCAAAACATAAACAAACATAGCAACACATGGCAATAAGATGGCGTTTTGTTCCCGTTGTGTTCTGTAGATTGTCAACTTACCAATTACGTAAACATATGAAGGCGTCATGTATATATTCCGAAATACACAACACAAGCGTAACTTTAATGGCGGGAATATATGCGAGTAAGACAACACGAGGTCGGCATCAGGCTTTGTTTACATTTCTGTAACAGATGCCCGTTTCAAATCATCGATAACAACCCTTATTTATACAATGAATACATAGTTAAACAATGTAACAATGTCACAAACAAACAAGTTATATGTAAACATTGTTGTCGAATACACAGCGATATAGTGTCAAGCACGAGTTTACAATCTGCGTATTTCCTCGGAAATCGAGGCTTTATCGGAACAGTGCGGTCATTATATACTTAAAAAACCTTACCTTGTTTCCTTTTAGGCATTTGGGAGCATTTAAAGTAACGGACAGAACCAACATATATTTGTGAAAAATAACCTTTGAATGGTTTGCTCTGGTGTGCATGTGAAACTTACATATCCCACAATACATCTGTGAAAACTTTGTGCGCAGGCTTAGGAATGTAAGTTTAATGGCTGGAAGTTTAAATGGGTGGCGCGAACGATTTATAATCAAACAAATGGGTTCGATATAAGAAAATCTACTGCTTGATAATCACTCTAAGTATTGAGTTTACTTCGTTATTAACTTATCTGACTATCTTGACTTCATTTAAATGGATTTTTAGGATTGTTCACCAGTCGATCATTATAATAGTGTTTATATATAGCAACATTGTACAAAAAAAATGTATATGTACATGTATATCAACAGTGTACAACTGTATCGTTAACCGTTAACTATTCAATTGTTCTTCATTGTAATTAACTGTTAAAGCATTAATTGTTAACATTGGATTCCTTTTAATTAAATTAACAAATATGAAAAGTATGCATTATTCCAACAATATATATCGATATTCCATAATGTACGTAATATTGACCGTGGCCTACAAAAAATTACAATACAATTTTTTCAATACCTGGATTTTCTTTGATTCGTTATTGATAACATGGAAACTGAATTGATATAAATGCCTGTGATAACAATGGTTTATCTGGTCAAATGAAGAAATATTTCCAGATTGATTTTTTTTTTTTTTTTAATGCAATACCAATTTTTTTTTTTTTTTTGAATTTGCTTTTAGCTTTAAAAAAAATTAAAACGGGAATGTATATAATCTTATAAGTTATTCTTTGTTTAGATTTGAGACATGTACATGTATATTCAAATATTTTCATAAGTTAGATTCAAACTCTTTGAAAAATATCTCTTAAAGAAATTATAAAAAGTGTCCAATTTTTCCAAGTACATGTACTACAAATTAATTTAATGTAGCCATGATGCTTATATTACAACACAACATTATATATTTAAGATCGATTCAAAGTCTTTGAACAACTAAGCATGTTTTTCCATTATGATTTTTTTAAACTCTTATCCTTATTTGGTGTCTCTGTATTAGAAATTTCCCTTTTACACGAAGTTTGTCTAAATAAATCTTGCTGTTTATTCTTCACAATTTTGCACAAATTTTGGTATGTAAATCATCACTTTTATGGTTTACACGTTATGACATTATATCAGTTTATGTATTTCATCATAAGATGACTGTGTATAAATTCAAAAGATGATTACAATATAATTTAAAGCATTTGATAAGTGTAGTTATTCAAACACAAATAAACATTACCATATAATATTGATATAGCTGTAATTTCTTCACCGAGTGAAAATAAAATATACTTTCTTTTTCTGAATAAAAAGTGTGTACAAAGTGATCAGTGAAATTGGTTTTAAATTTTCGATATCAGGTACCAGTACTTGAATTGATATTTACTTTTTCCCCTAGGAAGAAAATAAATCTCCCAATTTAGCAAGGCTACTACTGGAAGCACTTCTGCAGATTCAGACAGTATAGATCTCCGTTACAGTACTACCAATAGTACCCTTGCTTGAAGCAGAGAATTTTGTTTCTGTAGGAAGGGGCCAAACAATTCAAGCTCTTGTGGATTAACGCAAAATACATTTGTTATTATCTAAAGTAGAAGTGCATGCACGTACATACATAATTAACCTGTCTTGTCCTTACCTGTTTTTGGTAACCCTTCTACATTAACAGAACCAGCATACTGCAACAAGTAGCTGTATATGAGGTGGTCTGCTTGTTATGAATCTGTATTTCAAACAGCTCATTTATAGTGTGATACCACAACACAGAACTTGTAATAACGAATCGGACCATATTATACTTCACATTAGGCAGGTAGAACAAGCAAGGGTGAATTATCTTGCTCAAGGATTCAACCAATTCCTCTGTCCACATGTTCTAAAGGGGTGTTTAACAGCTGATCTGGTACACTTGTTCTTTACATAATTGTATTTGAAGAAGACACCAGTCATTATATATCGGCCATATGATCTTGTGGCCATCACATCAATATTTGTCTGTTCATCAGTACTGAGACCATTTGGTTTAGATACTGCATGTAAGCATTGTGGATATACTATCTACAGCTGTCTGTCGGTCCATCAGTACTGAGACCATTTGGTTTAGATACTGCATGTTAGCATTGTGGATATACTATCTACAGCTGTCTGTAGGTCCATCAGTCCTGTTATATCTACAGCTGTCTGTCCGTCCATCAGTCCTGTTATATCTACAGCTGTCTGTCGGTCCATCAGTCCTGTTATATCTACAGCTGTCTGTCGGTCCATCAGTCCTGTTATATCTACTGCTGTCTGTCGGTCCATCAGTCCTGAAGCTTTATGGGAAGTTGACATTACAGCTGTTATATCCACAGCTGTCTGTTTCATTTACCGGTAGACATTTAACAATGACATTATGATTGTTATATCCATGCAAGTCTGTCCATCATCAGTCCAGAATCTGTTGGATTTAGATTTTTTTTATTGATAATGACATTGTGATTGTTATATCCATGAAAGTCTGTCCATCATCAGTCCAGAATCTGTTGGATTTAGATATTTTATGGATGACATTGTGACCATTTTATCCAAATATGTCTCGTCTGTTGTTCCTGAAACCTTTTGATTTAGATATTTATTTGCATTATGGATAGTATACCTACTGCTGCTGTCTGTCCATCCAGCAGTCCTGAATCTGTTATTATGGATAGTATACCTACTGCTGCTGTCTGTCCGTCCAGCAGTCCTGAATCTGTTTGATTTACGATTTGAAGGATAATATGAACTTCTGACAGTGTTTTATTTGTTTTATTGCACTTGGTCCCTGTAGAGGAAACATTTGTACATAACAACCAATACATAAATAATTCCTGTACAATATGTACTTTGTCTGTAACAAATTGTGATATAATTACACATAGTCAAATCTTCATACATCCATAATTTTAAACAAATTTTAAGAGTGCATCATCTAACCTCCTCTGAATTCCTACCAATAAACATACTTTATACTGTAAAAGAGGAAAGTTTTGCTTTGTGGAAATGCTCCCAATTTCTGTATTGAGTAAATTAGCATGAACATATCTACATGCGAACATTTATTTATCAATTAGAAAGATTGTATATAAGATTTATATAATCTAAATTTTAGAACCGTTGCCTGTACAAAAATTTCCACACTGTAATCAGATTAAAGAGTCGCACTGCCAACTTTTCCACAAGCGAGAATTCCTACTTCCACAGTTATCAGTATATCGCCAAACAGGTTAACATGTTCTACTGGAGTGGACTTGCCAGGTGCAGAAGACCTAATCACCATGAAGCCTGACAATGAAACTCTGACATAATGAAATGACATTCATAATTTTCTTAGTGATTTGAAAGATGAAGTTTGTTATTTGATAACAATGTAAAATTCTTGTCTACCCATCATTCACCGTCACATCAGCACTAAACCATACCATACAATCTTGTCTACCCATAATACACTGTCACATCAGCACTAAACCATACAATCTTGTCTGCCCACAATACACTGTCACGTTAGCACTTAACCATACAATCTTGTCTACCCATAATACACTGTCACGTCTGCACTAAACCATACAATCTTGTCTACCCATAATACACTGTCACGTCTGCCCTTACCATACAATCTTGTCTACCCATAATACACTGTCACGTCTGCACTTAACCATACAATCTTGTCTACCCATAATACACTGTCACGTCTGCACTAAACCATACAATCTTGTCTGCCCACAATGCACTGTCATGTTAGCACTTAACCATACAATCTTGTCTACCCATAATACACTGTCACGTCTGCACTTAACCATACAATCTTGTCTGCCCACAATACACTGTCACGTCTGCACTAAACCATTCAATCTTGTCTACCCACAATACACTGTCACGTCTGCACTAAACCATACAATCTTGTCTGCCAACAATACACTGTCACGTCTGCACTAAACCATTCAATCTTGTCTGCCCACAATACACTGTCATGTCAGCACTAAACCATACAATCTTGTCTACCCACAATACACTGTCACGTCAGCACTAAACCATACAATCTTGTCTGCCCACAATACACTGTCACTTGTCTGCCCACAATACACTGTCATGTCAGCACTAAACCATACAATCTTGTCTGCCCACAATACACTGTCACGTCAGCACTAAGCCCTTAGATCTTGTCTACCCATAATACACTGTCACGTCAGCACTAAACCATACAATCTTGTCTGCCCACAATACACTGTCATGTCAGCACTAAACCATAAAATCTTGTCTGCCCACAATGCACTGTCACGTCAGCACTAAACCATAAAATCTTGTTTACCCACAATACACTGTCACGTCAGCACTAAACCCTTAGATCTTGTCTACCCATAATACACTTGCACTAAGCCAGAACAAGCACTATTAGAACTAAATCATATCAAACTAGCACATCAGCACTAACCATACCATACCTATAATCACACTAGGGCTATGTTCCTATATATACCGGTACATGTACATTAAACTCACATTTGCTTGCTAGCTCACTAAATGAACCACTCAAATGAATATATGCTTAATAGTGATATGGCATGATTCTAGTTTTTACACCATTATATATTTCTCAATGCTTTTCTCCCCTTAACACATAACATTGCATACAGTTTTGAATCAATACCTCTGGTAATTAGATTTTTTTTAGCGCTCTTTAACAAAATATTGTTTCATTAAAAATACCCTCATAAACGCACTTATCAGTTATCAGAGTAGGTGATAAACATGTGGGTAATATATTTACATATGCACTCTTTATAAAATACGCAAGCCTGTTACGTATTGCCATGATGGTGTGACAAGTGCTAGTTATTGCCAAATAAGGATATTTTTCCCACACATCATTTCAAAGTTATGGAAAACATTTAAGAAAATCATCCTTTTGATGTTACAGCATCATTTCCCTGTAGTTCTCTGTCCATGGTTCTCCATTTAATCATCCACAGTTGACGTACAAAATTCATAATAAAATCTTGTATTTCTCCGCCCTTGGTACTCTGTTGATGACTAGCCGTCCATCATAACTAAGGGAGGCGAACACCCATGGGTCAGCGGATGACCAGTCCACAGCATACACACTGTCCTCGTGTTCCTCATAAGTGGCTATCACTCCGTCCTTAGGTGCTTCTGTAGAACTGCAATCACAAAACACATTTCACGTTGGACTTTATTAAAGGTACACCTCCATCATTTTCTTTGAAGAGCAAAATAAATATTCATTGAATACAAATATCAAGCAAAGAGAAGGAAAAAAGGTGCAAAAATACTTTCTTATGATCAGAACTAATTCAAGAGGACAAGAGATCATGTTAACATTTATATGTGCCTACATTTGACAGACAAGAGATCAATGGTACAACAGGTACGATCACTGTAGGGTTTTGTTGACTTTAATATTTATTTTCCATTTGACTACTTCATCAAATTGTGTGGTGCATTTGGGGAAAAGATCATGTATAATTAATAAAAAAGTCGCTCAAAAAAGGTTAATTAAGAAAATCTTAGGCCACTTTCCTTTATAGAGTTCAAAACAGTTAAGAGTTTGGACCAGAGTTGTTCATTTATGAAAAAGGGACGGACCTATTGATTTGAAGTCGACTTCTGTCAAGCCATGGCAAATATTTTCAAGGACTGCATTAATATTTACAGGTCCATCTGGTTTAACCCTTGAAGTATTACATTTAAACCAACAGGCCCCTAATGACCAAACTTTCAAAGAAATAACTTTGCATATCAAGGGAGATAACTCATAATCTGCCGAATATTCATGCTAAATTTATGAGTTCATTCATACCCGATGGTCGGTTTTTTGTGCATTTTCATAAACACTTTAATTTTGGCCTAGGGGTTACAAGTCTATTAAGTTTGAGTATTTTATCCCATGAACTTTGACCTCTTAAGAGCACATTTTTTTCAAGGTGGATGCAAGTAGCAGTAATGTAGCATCAGTCTTAACAGACAAAATTCTCTACAGATAGAAAGACATATGGACAGCATTACTCCAGTATATCTCCCTCACTTTGATGTAGAGAGTGTTAAGAAGTTCTCACCGATTCTGAACCTGTTGGTCCTCATCACTATCATCGTCATTCTCCACAAGATGTCCAAACGGCTCTGACGACAATGACACAATATTGTTGAGGATGACCCGACTATCACTGCTGGATGATAGGACCAGCTGATCATGGAAATGGTTGTATCTCACAGCCCATACCCTACATATATATATACAAACATAAATGTAGGTAGTTTACAGCTCTTACCCTAAATAAAATTAAACAATATCTCAACAATTTATATTGTAAAGAAATTTAATGGGTTTTTTATTTTTTTCCCCTAAAAACTCCAGCATGGCACAACCTACATAAACTTTGTTGGAACATATTATTTGTACTGCAAACTTTGACAAAATTTCAGTTCAGGTGAGCTACTTGAATTCTTTTGATTTCGATTTTGTGTCCCAGAACTATCATAAACTAGGTCACTATGTGTTTTATAAATTATTTCAGTTTTAATTTCCATTATAAATGTTTCTGTAACTATCTATTTTTAATTTAACAAGCAGAACACATCAAACCATCTGTGGAGGGGGTTCACGATAGATCACAAGTCTTTGGTTTTCATTGTAAACGTAACCCAGTAAAATGTACTGATGCATCTTAAAATATTTTAATAACTATATCTCTATTTTACTCATGACTTGTGTTCTTGTGTTTTATAGTAATTCAGACTGAATAACTGATTTTAAATACCTGAACTACCGTACATTAACTACAGGTCTACTTTCCTTACGCTGCTTTCTCTCCTGTGCATGGTCCCAAAGATTGATCTTTTTCAATCATTCAAACAAATTCAGACACCACATCCCTAATACAATGTATGCAGACATACTAACCAGTGAGAGTGTTCTGCTAACACTTTGAGGGGCTCCGTAGGATTCCTTGTGTCCCAGAACTTCACCTTACAATCGTCTCCACAACTGGCTAGGTAGTACTGCTTATTTGGGTTGAAGTCTACGTCCCTGACTAACTGACCATGGGCATTCTCGATAACATACACCTGTCTGGGGTATAAAATACAAGGCTTTAACATACTGACCTGTTAAATATTCAGGTTACTATCTTGGTAGACCTTGAGGTCAAGACTGATTGATTTATTGATTTATAAATTCTGATTGGCCAATCAATTGCAACATCAACAGATTCTTCCTTTACCATTGAAGGTATGACAACATCAAACCAAGAGGGAATATTATTGATGGTCCAATATGAGACTAGTTTCAAGAGGAGGGTTACACATTCAAGATTCTCACCACCAGGGTTGATTTTTTTCTAGCATAGCTTCACTGTATGAGATGAGCACATTTCTCCCATTCTAACAATAATATGTTCTAATGAATACAATGGTTATTAGCATTTCTACATGTTTCCTTTCCTGATCTGCTTATATTCGTTCTTTTGGAAAGCTTATGACATGGTGTTTTGATTGTTACCATGGTATCATCTTATTTTTCATTGATATCATGCTTATAGTGTTGTCGGTCATACCGTAGGGGTGACCGAGGAATAATACCCTCTGAGTTCACAGAGAAATCTTCAACAGTTGTAACGAGAAACAATTCTATGAATAGAGGCATAGAATAGGGTCATATAAGGGGCCACACAGTATAGGAGTGCCAAGTAACTCACTGCATGGAGCGAATGTCCCATCCTCGTATGGCGGTATCGTTGGCAGTTGCCACCTGCTGGCTATTGTGGTGTGGATTCCACCTGCCACAGGTCATCTTAGGTTGACCCTTACTCTCTAATTCTGCGGAGGCGGTCAGCTAAGAACAAACCATTGGTCAATACAGATATGCATATCAATAATACACACATCTCAACTACCAACACTCAAAAATTCTGTGAAAGGAATTTATCTGTGTTTTAAATTTCGTTTTTTCTAAATAATGCCAGGGAAACAAAAATGTGCATATTTTCATCAATTATGGTTATCAATTAATGTTTATATATAGTCCAATTATGTTGCATAGATTTTTTTTTTTACTTTCAGAAAAGGAGAGTTAATGAAAGAGACTAAATGACTTTATATCTACCGCAAAATGCTTAATTTTTGTTGATTTCTTGTGATTCAAACAAAGTGCAAAGTCCAATCCTACAACCTGTGGAGGGATCCAACAAATTGGTTGGATAAGACACAATGTCAGAGTACAGAGGTTTTTATGAGATAGTTTTGGAGCAACAGATGTGTGTTGGACAGGACAAGATGTCAGAATACTCACAGGACAGAATCAACAGATTTCACCACTGTATCAGTAAGTGAAGCCTTGCTCCAGTTTCACCACTGTATCAGTAAGTGAAGCCTTGCTCCAGTTTCACCACTGTATCAGTAAGTGAAGCCTTGCTCCAGTCAGTAAGTGTAACGGAGAATAACTGATAATCATACAGGTTGGTAGTCAGTGTTAATGCCATGAGATCACAAACCTTTGCAGTACTTGAGGAGCTATCAAGGTCCCAGAGGAGGATATGGTTGTCAGACAAGCCAATTAGACTGCTGCTATCACCAGTCGGATGCCACAGGACACTGTAAAATACCAATCAATGTTTTCACGTAACACTTTTAAACACTTCCAGTGAATTCATTCAAAAAGGTTGAACATTTTCATATGTGATATAATTGTCTTTCAAATTTCAGGTTGATAAAAGCATAAAAATTGTAAAACAGTAAAACCTATAATAGTTAAATTGGCTGTCTTTATACAGGAAAAGCTGCACACCAATCAATAAATACATAAATTATTATATTTATAGATTAAATTCTGCAAATTCAGTTATGAGTCATAAAATTAAATGTGTAAAATGATCCGAGATGACAATGACAGCACTTAAACAATCCCAGTCAATTACAATCCCTGTCAATTACAATCCCAGTCAATTACAATCCCAGTCAATTACAATCCTAGTCAATTACAATCCTAGTCAATTACAATCCCAGTCAGTTACAATCCCAGTCAATTACAATCCTAGTCAATTACAATCCCAGTCAGTTACAATCCCAGTCAGTTACAATCCCAGTCAATTACAATCCCAGTCAATTACAATCCTAGTCAATTACAATCCCAGTCAGTTACAATCCAAGTCAATTACAATCCCAGTCAGTTACAATCCCAGTCAATTACAATCCTAGTCAATTACAATCCCAGTCAATTACAATCCAAGTCAAATACAATCCCAGTCAATTCAATGTCATCTACTGTGGTAAATGAAACAAACTGCTAAGATTCACATGAACAAACACAAAATGGTGTTATAAATAAACCATACGTTGATTTTTGTATTCATTGCATGGTACTATGAATGCCACTTTAAAATGAAAGGTTCATATCTGGCAGAAAAGAAACGGGATTTTAAAATTAAAATGCACATACAAATAACTGTTTGGTACTAATCTGAATTTGAAATGGAATCCAGGATAATCAACCAATTTTTTTTCATTAACGAGTACCAAATATTGTTTAAAGGATATTAAATTTGATTCCATTTCATATGAGGTTTATGAAACACGTCAAGATTTTTTTTCCATTCTAGTTTGACAGATCCTTGCTAAAATAATGAGTTCTACACACAAACCTGAAACCCATTCAAGGCCAGGAGCTAATTGTTATAAACATGACAAAGGGACATTTGATGATGTAAATTAAGTCTGTAATGTTATTATCACCTTTTCATGTCCCCGTATTCAGTGTCGTCAAGGTGACAGACAAGCTGTAAAGACTGATGGGAAGAGTGGTCCTCCACCTGCGTGCTGTCGTAGTCTGATGGAAGTTTCCATACAGCTCCTCGCATCTCTGTCTTGGATTCCGTTGCTGTTGTATAAAAAAGAAATATCTAACACACCATACCTGTTATTTGTGTAGAGTAATTTCTTATTTAAATCTCCATTGTACAGTCTTTAAATGAACAAAATCGGAAGTTGTTATACGGTATGAAAGCATAACACAGAGAATGTAGACATTTTCCATTTTGAAACTGTTTGGGTATTTCCATCATTCTGTTTTAGTAATTTTGAGAACCAATCAAGTCTCGACATAAATTAAAATTTTGACAAAAAATCCGAGACGCTTTCCAATTGGCATCATCACCTAACAAGAATGGTGATCTTAGAAAAATATTTTGTTTAAAATTTGGCTAAACACTGTTTAAAACACATCATGATCCAAAAGAAGCATTTTTTTTTCTGTTTTGAATGTTTATATAAGGTAGCAGAGTACAGTAGCGTACAGTGGCCATGGGTGATATTTTTATACAATGAATAACCCCTGTAATATAACATGTATCAAAATTTAAAAAAAAAATCAGCACTAAAATTGGCATATACATGATGAAGTGGACTATGTGGGCTTCATAATTTAAAAAAAAAAAAAATCGAATTTGGTTTGAGACTACAATTTTGGGCATTTACAAATCTGTGTCTACACAACAAAAGCTAGCTTTTCATGTAGTCTATTTTTGTACTCAGCACATGTGTAAATATTGTGAAAAATCCACCGGAATGACCTATGCTAAAACGTGAGTATTTCTGTTACCGAGTAGGCGATATTTAATTTCAGACAGGTTTTAAGAAAAACAATTCTACTTGCGGGGGTCAAATTCTGGGTTAAAAATCATGATTTTTTGCATATTTTGGTGTTTTTTGATGTGGTAACCATGGTTTTCAGAAGTCCCAAATCTGGGGAAATCACTTTTTGAAAAAAAAAATGTTCTTCTAAAAAACACCTATTAAAAATGTAGTTTATAAATATATATATATATGTAGGTGTGTTGTGCAGGATGAATCCGCTATCCATGTTTATCCGAGACATGCCCTTTATTTTTAGGGTCAAGCCATTTCTACTGTACTCTGCCACCTAAGGACAGAAATGCATTGTTTTAATATTTATGATGGTATGCAACACAGTTCCATACAAAAATATCTCCAAGATGCTTCCGTCCTTAAATGACCATAGCTGTTGATAGGACGTTAAACAATACTAAACCAAACCAAATCCAGGATGCTTCACCTTGTATCAAAGGAATAATATTTTTTAAATGGAACTTGGTTGTACATGTATACCTTAATAAATATATTTTTTAATGTATTTCAATCCTTAATTTATTCTTCAGTCAGAGAAAATTTTGTGGAATCACATGTACATCCAGTCTGAAAATAAAGAGATTTAGCACAAGATGATGTACTTTTGTTGTAGCAGGTGGCTAGGAGATTACTATCCATGGTAGAGGCACTGATGTCCCAGATCTCGCCCTCTCGGTGGATGTATACATTCTTGTTTATGATGTTGTTTTCATCGTCAAAGTCTATGTGGTGGATCTACAACAAAATGGAAGATATATATATACACATAATTGTTAGAATTTTGAAGTCCTAAAACACAATTTTGAAGATATCTCTGGACTTTGATTCTCACTGAACATGAATAGTTAATCATATATTGTATAGTTTAATCTATACAGAAATGGCATGTACATAACAAGTACATTTTATTTAATACAAATGTATATTTCTTTATAGGAATTTGAAGCAGTGACATTTCTAATAATTTGCATAATCTCTACACTAGGATTTCAATCATTTCATTAATCTTTCAATTTACAGTTGAGTGGATGATAACTTGGCTCATTAATATTCCGTCGTGTACAGTTGGAAACAGTCTGTATTGACACTTTCACAGCACATACTGTAATGTATACTGAATCTCACTACATTCTGTAATAGTCGTCAGTACAGGGATGCTAACCTGATTTTCTGCTCGGAGTGACTGTGTGCCCACCAGAAATCGTATTTTATCAGTCTCTGCTGTTTGAGCAGACAGTGCTCTGGCCTGGAATGACATGAAATCACATTTATTATAATTTAGTTAGCTATAATAATAATAAAGAGATTACATCCTGAATGGTTTATACATGTACATAGATACATGTCCACAACACGCTTTGGGTGTCCTTGCCTCTACACAGGCTACTGCAAAATGCACAGGGCAGTAGTTGAATGTCTGTCTGAACTTCTTTTGTTTCCCTTCTTAAAATTTGGTGTACTTCTGTCAAAATGATGTTTTAATGCATATTTTAAGATGATGGTTAACTGTAAAAGAAAATGAAGTGGCAAGCTCCTTCATTAATTCAACATGCTTTTTAAAATGATTCAGTTTGGCAACTTCCAAGGATTTTGTTGGGCCTTTTGCATTTTTTAAAATATTTGGAGGGATATATATGTATAGATACAGAATGTTTGTGTTTTAGTGTAAGACCTCATGGAATGAATATAGAAAAAGAGTGACAACAATATTAAAGGTTTGATGAAAAACAGCAGTAAAACATATTTTTTTGTCCTTGGACAAGGCCTTTTTTAATCCTTCTGTTCACTCTCAGTCTCCATCTGCAAAAAGCCATATATAATATGTTGTGCTGGTTGGGTATTGCAGCTTTTCTGCTGTAGTATATAAACTATACACCTATACAAAAACCTCTAGCATACACAGTCTATAACACACAATGTGCAGGAAGGTCTAGGTCTGGAATTAATACAAACAGGTCTGTATGCTACACTCTAGATCTGTACGGAATTATGATGAATCACATTTATTCAAACTACGGATTCTAGTGATAACTGATTACATACCAAAATCGGTCTGGAAAGTTAGATAGGCCAACCTATTCTTATCAAAATGATATGCAATTTTATTTGAACCAATATTTTTTCTCTCAAACACGTGCACTAATGCTAAATCCATAAACCATAACACATTTGAATCTCCTGCCAATAATTATCACTCAATGCTGAACACTAGAAGAATTCACATACAACATAATAGAAGATATACACAATCAATACAACTAATTCATCCTGTTTTTAACCTCTTTTTATCATACAGCCAAATACAAATAACAAATAACCTAAAATGTTGCAGGAACGAAAGAGAGTAGTGTACATGTGCTTCCCCCGGGGATTGAACCTGGGACCCCCAGCTTCCCAGTCTGTCGCTCTAGATCTACTGATTGAGCTAAAGAAGCGTCAAGCTAGAAGGCAACCATAATCCTATGTACATTTAAATTTGACCATATATATATATCCCCCCCCCCCCCAATTCATGTATATAATCATCAATATCAATGGAGGACAGCAATCATGCTGAAAAGTCAATTATCCTTTTTTTGAGTGTCTTCCTCTCAATACAGCACCTCCATCATATAGTTTCTGTCTTCTTCTTCCTGTATGAAGACTATTTCTATGTAGTGTAAATTCTCAGTCTTTTATGATAATTAGAAACAAGTTCCTTTGATAAGGGGAAGGGAACAAATTATCCCACAGCACCATTGCAGAATGATAAAACAGTACATGGCTATAAAGTAATAATTTGCAGTGTATGTTTGTTTGTTTGAGTGGTTTTTCGTATGCTTCACTGCCGAGTAGTTTGGTTATCCAGCAGATGATGCAGTGTACATTTGATGGATGGAAGTGGCACCACAGCCTACCTCCAGCTAACACTAGGGGGTGTCCAATGAATGGCCCTAAAACCGCAACGCCCCAAATTTGATTTGTATCGCCCAAAATAACACCCCAACTATTTCGCCCCAAAAAAATCATGCTCGATACTCCAGGGGTTACGCCTGGAGTTTATAATCGAGGATGCAAAAGAAATACAATGCCCCAAAAATTTCCTCCATCCCAATTCAATATGTTTCTCATGTGGCTTTCCTTATATTCCCCTTTTCTTTTTGGGAAACAATTAGCTGCGATAACGTAGCTTTCTGACGACGAGACATTTTTGATATATTGCGTTGCCGGAGTGGAGAGTAGGCAGGGTATGAATATTCGTTCTAGAAACAGAGTACTTGAGAGTGGGCGCTGCAGTATAATACAGATAGAAATCTGTAGTTAAATAATTATGTGAATGTTTTACAGTTCTTATAAGGGGAATAACTCTTGTTTCGTATAGACAACAGACATGTCGACAGTACAATACACCACTAGTGTAGTATATACATATTATTGTTGGTTATGCATAGCCGGTCATTTTATTAGAAATTCAATATTGATTGGAAAAAAATCACAATAACGCTTAATTGATATTTGTTTTTTATCATGCATTATTCGGTCTAAATAAAAAAAAATCAGGTTCCTTTTTATGATATGTTTCGTTTCCACAGAGCCGTATACGTCTCTGGTTTCCAGGGGGGGGGGGGGGGGGGGGGGGGGNGATATGGTTGTCTTTATTGGGGCGAAATGAACTGAAAGTTGGGGGCGATGTGAAAAAGTTGGGGCGAAATGGTCTGAGGCGTAACGGGTTTTGGGCCATCATCGGCTCGTTGCACAATGTTTTATCAAATTCTCGAAATCAGACCTTTAATTTCAACTAACTATGTAACATTTAATAAATTACTTGATGAAGACCACATCAGGATTCGTAAATATACGTGTTAACTTTACCTGAAACTCGAGCCCATAGATGACTGGCGCTTCGTCGTCCATTTTGAAACACTTGTGACAGAAGGTGATAGTCGTAAATAAATACAAGTGGATTTAGATATTTGTATGTTTTTGAAAATGTGTCAGCTGTCAAATTGTATTTCTTCTCATTATATGTTAAGAAAGAAAGAAACTATTAAATAATATAAATAAATGAACATTTTATCGTGCTCTGTTTTGCGACATAAATCATCGTAAAGCGGTCGTTGAACCTTGCACGAAGAATCATCCTGTAAGTTTGTCAAAAAATTGCATACAAGACAGTGTAATGTGCATGAGATGCTGTGCGCTTTATGAAAAGTAGACAATCAAGAATGTCTGTGATAAGATTGTATGTGGAATGTGCATTATAATGATGCGCTATATATGTCGACAGACTTTGTTTACTTTCGTTCAATTTTGAGGATGCATAATCATGCAGATTTTTCCATTTCACGTGTTCGTCCTGTTCGGGTTTGAGCAGTTTCCCGGTTTATCCATGAACGAAAGCCTAGATTTAAAACATCACTATAAACATAATGACAAATAGCCTGTATAAAACTAACTGTACGTATCTCTTATTAAAAGTCTTAACATTAAATAACCCCATTAAGGCCCTAATTACCATGTCGACATTTTGGTGGGTACAAGATTACTAACATTAAAGTTAGCCTCACCTAAGTACAGGCAGGCGGGTGCAAAATGTAAAGGATTGTGGATGATTAATCTCACATGCACTTATTTGTGATAACATAGCTTCTGACTACGAGACATTTTTTCAAACCCCCAAGACCAAGTGGCGCAAAGTGCCACTTGGTTTTTATCTGGGCTACATTCACATATCCCGGTTGGTCCACAATAAACCGATGTACCCCTGTAAACACTTTGTCCACTTCAGATGCTTCCCCATGCGAGAAAGTGTTTTTAAGCCTTCTGGGAAATTGAGGCTGCACACTGTCTACAAAAATATGATGGTAAACCCTACGGTATCAGTATTTATTGCAGTTTACTCGTGAAATATCATGAATTCTCCATTTGATAAAAAAAGATATCTTTAATGCAGATTTTAAACGAAACATAATATCCTAACAAGTATAAACTTCACTCTTAGTATTGTCCAATTGCAATCTGAACGGTACATTATATTCTCTGTGTAGATTTTCAGTTTCAAGTTTAGATAAAGTGACGGCAGAATAATTAAGTGGTTGTGTTGTCTACTTTTGCAGCATACATTATTGTTTTTACATAAATACACAGTTAATATCACTTTTGTCTGGAAATCTTACCAGATAATACTAGCAAAAGGCAAAATTGCAGTGAAAACCCATTCAAAATGGCACTCTGCATTGTTGTCAAGTGTGACGTCATTACAACTTGGCGTCAAAAACTACGTTACACATTCCCACACTTTTCTGGTGTAGCAATATTTGTGCAGCGTGACGTGGAAAAAACGTAAGAAATAGAAAATTTCATGGTTTTCCCGTTCAATACGATATATTTATTTCACTTGTATAAAGCGATTATGTAATAACAACCAAAATACCAGCGTTGTGGCAAAATATGTCTTCGTAGCAGTCCCGAGAAGTAATAACTATTATTCAAAAGGGCGGTGGGGGGGAGGGGGGGCTACAATTGACGCTTCAACATAGAAGATGGTTGATATTTTATCCAAAATAGTCAAATAAATACATTGTCAAAAGAAATATTTGCAAAAATCTGTATAAAAAAGGTATAAATGATCTTTGATGTAAATCATCGTATGTCCCGGCTTCTCTCTCTCAGAAGATGACGTTATTACCAAATCGTTGACATTAAGGCCTAAACGTGAGGTTAAAACTGTACATTTGCGTGCTGTGGGACAATTATTGAGTGACAATAGTGCAAAATGTAAGGACATTGAGCGTGAACGGCAAAATTAAAGCCTTTACAATTTATATAATTATAATTAAATAGATTCAAGTATGCAGGATCCGTTCCCTCGTGGTTGATGGACTGTCAATAAGTCATTTTCATGAAAAGGTTTGCATCCGTCTGGCATCTGGGGCTGAAGAGGCAGGGTATTAATATTAGTATTAACACACACTCGCCTCCCCTAACTCCACCCCACCCCCACTTCAACTTCCATACACTGCATATAAAAATAGAACAATGTACTACATTACCCGTATGTCTGTCACCAATTTTAGAATAATCAGGGAGACACCTTTAAATCAGTTTTAGGAGCTACACATGTACATTGTGGTACTTACAATTCACTTGTTCTCGGCTTTTCATCCTCACAACAGATCAATTGATATAAAGACGCTTCTTCACAGAAGATGAAGCCACTTTGAGTTTGAAACGCCATAATAGAAGTCCAAGTGTTGTAGTAGGGGTGGCAGGTGAAATGTGATTTCTCCAGTGTCCCCTGACAGCTGAGATGACACAGAACACACACCTGATTCTGAAGGAGCCCCTGCATTAGTGGCCTTATACAATTGTGAAAGATGTGCATTGATTATCGGTTGCCTTACAAGTGTCAGCTGTGGGAAATTTCCCTTTAGCTCAGCGGTAGTGCATCGGGCTAAAGAGGCAAGGGTCGGGGGTTCAAGCCCCAGCGTTGGCACTATCTTTATCACTATTCCTCATCCTACTACAAACTGGTGCCGTTGAACCTCCCCATTCAAGATAGGAGAACCCTTGGCGGGTGGGAAAAAAACCTTGGGTTGATGTTTAAAAAAAGGGGGGAATAGTGTAAAAGATGTGCATTGAATAGGTTGCCTTACAAGTGTCAGCTGTAGGAAATTTCCCTTTAGCTCATGATCAGGGGTATAGCATCGGGCTGGAGAGCCAAGGGTCACGGGTTCGAGCCCCAGCGACGTCACCATTTTTATTACTATTCCTTGTCCTACTACACAATCACGCATTGGGATATAGTAGTTCTATTCTCTCCTTTAACCTTCATAGGTGATACGACAAATCGTTAAATGTTTCCACTTTCTATAACCAACCTAGATTTGAGTGCCCTTGTGCAATGTATATTTTATTTAAATTAGCACTGCTTAAGTACTACCTTCCCTAAACTTTTATGAGTCAAACGAAAAACCATAACAATTGTTTTGTTTTGACTTGAACATGTGTCACCTGATTTGATTTCTAATTTTGCTTTATTCAATTTTTAGACTCCATCAAAATGATGTCGGATGATAATTCCGGAGTTGGTGATTTTCTGGAAGATGAAAGTTTTGCTGAATCCTCCACTAACGTATTGGTATTTCCATCAGAACCAACACTTAGGCATTCAGCTACCACAGACACACTAGACTCTGTCATCCTTGAAACATCTCCAGCTGATGAGGAAATTCTAGATGACATCAATAATACACAGGCAGACAAATCTGATTCCAAAAAAGATACAAGTTTGACCCTGGTTGAGTTTACACAATCAGACAATGATGTAACACCACAAGGAGCAGATTCATCTTTACTGGGTACTTCTCCATCAATGGATTTTTCTAAAGTTGAGGAAAATCAAGATAACCGTAAACGAAATGTTGAGGAGGACAAATTTAACCAAAGTCCTCTTCATATCAGTAGCTATTTTAAAACAGAGACAGCAGTGGTTGTTGAAAGTGATCCATTTGGACAGAATTTCTTTGATAATATCAGCAATACTCCTCAGGAGGATAAATCTAAAGCTGTTTCTCCAGACGGTGTCTTTGGTGATGTGGAGGACCTCGGTAACGTTGGGGAAGTTTCACCCAGTGCAGTATCACCTGTTGTTGATGTGTCTGCTGCTTCGCGACCAGATCCTATCGAAAGTCGACTGTCACACGAGGAGCCAGAGAGCGTAGATTTCCAGGTTGTACCAGAGGATACGGAAACTAATGTTATGGAGGCCTCACTACAGGTAATTGATGACAAGGAAGATTTTGAATCCTTCACAGCAGAAGGGACTGGTGATGGTGACCAGGACATTTTGAGTGGTCTTAGTATGTCCCCATCAAACAAACTGATGTCTGAGCGTATGTCTCAGTTACACATCACAGACACCATTCCCATAGATACTGTCCCCGACAGTGGTCCGGTTAGCTACGACCGTCAGCTGTCTAACAAGTACCCAGACCTAGGGCTATCCCCAGCACATCAGCCGTTCCAGGGGACACCACTACCACCGATGCAGTTGTCTGCCTTCCCCACTCCAGTACACCAGTCACACCAGTCAGTTACTCCATTGGCCGAACCTACTAGCGACAGTTATTTGGAAGTTCAGATAGAGGACAAACTAAGTAAGGATATATGACACTGAACATTGATCCTATTGGGGAATTAACTAAATAGAAATGTGTACCAAAAGTAACTCTATTTTCAAGCTTTTGGACTTGCCTTTCTTGAGGTTGTGAAAGACCCTCTCCTCTAATTATAAGTAACATCATATTTCAATCATTTCCTGATGAAAGGCTAATAAAGTATATATAAGTATATAATGCGTCTAGCTCTAAAACATAAGCTTTACAAAATAAAAAGTAAATTTAAGCAGGCAGTTTATATAATGATTCATATTTCTAAAATAGGCAAAATGAGATCAAATATTTCAACTACCTACTTACCCAACCTAAAGTTTGTACTGGAAACTTAAAATGTCAATCAAAATATAACAATTTTAAGCCTTTATATCTTTAATGAAGCGAGGGTCTTTAAATTTTGGTTAAAAATTAATTAAATATGTAAAAATTAATTTATAATATATTAATAATATATTTTGTTTTTGATGCTGAATTATCGAGTGATCATTGAAATTTGCAAAACACAGCAATTACTTATTGATGATGCTTGCACAATATTTTGCTCAACTTTCACTTTATAAAATTCTTGCACTGAATTAAAAGAATTATGTGGAAAACTTTGTATATTTCATCTTAGGTGAAACTGCAGGTTCGCCTCCCAAGTCTGGTGGTCTGGCATCCGCTTTTCAGATACTAGGTGACGGTAACGCTGCAGATCCATTCTCGACCAGTATCCACATGAGCGAGGCTGATAGACAACATGATGCTTGGTTACCATCAGACGCGACTCGACATATCCTTGTGACTGTAACTACATCACCAGGGAGTTTCGTACCAACAGAAGAACAAATCAGTACACCCAGTATTGTCGTGAACGAATCACAGGTACGTTTATAATCATTATAGGACCAAACCCCTGTTAAAACAAGTGATAATAGATAACTTTATAGAACCCTGTTACTGAACAAATAAGTACACCCAGTATTGTTGTGAACGAATCACAGGTACGTTTATAATCATTATAGGACCAAACCCCTGTTAAAACAAGTGATAATAGATAACTTTATAGACCCCTGTTACTGAACAAATCAGTACACCCAGTATTGTCGTGAACGCATCACAGGTACGTTTATAATCATTATTGAACCAAACTCCTGTTAAAACAAGTGATAATAGATAACTTTATAGAACCCTGTTACTGAACAAATCAGTACTCCCAGTATTGTCGTGAACGAATCACAGGTACGTTTATAATCATTATAGGACCAAACCCCTGTTAAAACAACAAACCCCTGTTAAAACAAGTGATAATAGATAACTTTACAGAACCCTGTTACTGAACAAATCAGTACACCCAGTATTGTCGGGAACGAATCACAGGTACGTTTATAATCATTAAAGAACCAAACCCCTGTTAAAACAACAAACCCATGTTAAAACAAGTGATAATAGATAACTTTACAGAACCCTGTTACTGAACAAATAAGTACACCCAGTATCGTCGTGAACGAATCACAGGTACGTCTATAATCATTATTGAACCAAACCCCTGTTAAAACAAGTGATAATAGAAACTTTATAGAACCCTGTTACTTAACAACAAATCAGTCATTAATCGATAAGTATCCATGCAACAAAGATGAGTGGGGGGGGGGGGGGAGATACTGGAATCAAGTTATCCGTCCATCTGCCTGTAGACACAATTTTGTCTACACAACTCCTTCAGTTTTCAGCTGGATATCATTAAACTTCACTGATGTAGTCAACACACTGAAGATGTTCCCCTTTTAACAAAAGTTAGCCAAAACAATCTTGTCATTTCAGCAAGATTTTATGAAACTTCACTATTGTGGTCAACACACTCTTTAAGTCCTACACCTGCAATTAACATTGCAATCCAGGTATTATGTGAGTTATTCCCCTTCGTTTAAATAAGTTCTTCGTACTACATCTCTTAAAAGTACATCACCGATTTCAGTGATACTTGTTGCATAGAACCCTTACATAAAAGGGGATGTATATAAAGAATATAAATTGGAGTTACTTCCCATATTTATGGAGTTATGTCACTTTAATCAAAACATTATTGAACCAGCGGTGTGTATAAATCTTGCCATTCTAGCAACATTTCTTAATTCTGGTAGAAGCAAATCCTTGTTAAGGCAAGCAATAATCAATAACTACTAATATACCAAACATGTTTTAAATGTTGTATTCTTATGTATGTTAGGGTGACCCTGTACGAGACCTTGTCCATCGCTACATGGGAGAACAGGAGGCCATTAAGAGACAGATACTGACGGTCGACAGTGTAACCCAAAATGTGGATGGCTTGAAGAAACTCTTGGTAAATATCTACACTGTCTTAAGGCCAAACAAAAAATATTTGGTGTTTCCGGTAACCCTACCTTCTCTAACATTTTAAGACAATTTTCAAAGAAGCACTGGTAAAGTCAAGATCACTCTCCTATATAAACCACATCAAATTTTTTTTCAAAATAAAACTAGCTACCTACCTACCCTAAAATTTTCCAACATTTTACATGAAACACATATTTTTTTGTCTTGCCTAAACAGAATATCTGGTACATATCTACACTATCTTCCCTTTAAAAATATGCTAGTTATCTATCTTGCTACATATATGTATTTGTAGTTCGAGATTTATATCTAGCCCAAGATTACATGCTGTCAGTAACTATGTGCTGAAAGAAAGTGTACATAAATTATTTTTTTGTTCTATTGAGTTTGTTTTGCTGAAATGCATTCAATATTGTTTTACTCCCTAATTTGGTGATACAGAAATCATTACACTTAAGATTATAAAACTTATATTTTTAATGTAGGAGGGAGGATGTTACAGATCTGCTGTAGAACTGACGGGGAGACTTCTAACAGCTGCTGGTCAGGGGTCAGACAATCAAGGGGACACAACTCCACCGACCCAACACACATCACATACACTACAGGTAACCTAGAACAGATGTTTCTAAGGCAGTATCATAAATAAGAATATGATATTTGCATTAAATTTCTAAATAGTTCATTAACTATATCCGATAGTTTGGTTTTATATAGATAAATATAAACAAGTTGCATTTGTGTGCCAGTTTTTTTAAAAGGTTTTGTTCAGCACAGTGTTCACATATCCAAATGCAGCAAAGAAAATTGTATCTACTAGGAATTCTAAATATTTAAATGATATGTGTTACATTTCTACATTAGATCAATACACATGTATTATTATCTACAATGTTATTGGAACCTAACTTTAAAAAACTGGTTTTAGGTGGCGCAACATTGCAATGGAAGGGTAATTTGTAGAACCTGTTTATGGTAAATTTAATTGTTTTCATTGAGTTAATTGTGAGATTTGTTTGTTCATCAGAAACTGATAAACTAGAGCCTCTTGTCGAAGTGCAAAACAAATCTTAAATATACTGCTCCCAGATTCGATATTGATTTCCAAGGACTGAGAAATTGAACATGTAACAATTCCTATTTCATCAAATAGAATTATGAATTATTCCAACATTGTCCAGACCAATAATGCTATACCATTTTCTGTTAGACTTTCTGCTGTTGCACGTTAAATCTACCACTATATATTGGACTTATCACTGTACATTGTAATTCCAACAGCTTTGGTTTTGTCGTCTGTCCCTGCTGATGAAACTGAAATTGTACAACATCGTTGAGTCAGAACTGCAGGGGTTTCAGAACCTCGACACACCGGACCTCTACTATGAGTTCTATCCACAGATTTATCCGGGTCGTAAAGGTCAGTTTCTGTTGTTACAGTCGACTATTGCCTCTACAGAACAGAGTCTAATGGTGCCAGTGGCATTGTCCACATTTATTGTGCGAAGCCCTGCTTCTCAAAGTCAATTAAAATTGAATATTATTACTTTGAAAGATAAATATCAAAATCCAGCAATTTGCATCCAAAATTTGTTGATTGAGACGTTATGTTGGACTCTACTACTATGACTGTATATTTGGGATATATAGTCAGATTTGGGCTGATATGAATTTAACAGGTGAAGCATTGTATTCCATAAAATTATCGTTTTCTCATTTACCAGATTTTTTTTATTATTATTTTGTTAATGATACTGGTCAATGTCTTGATTTCATCTATTTTTTAAACAGTTTTCTCTACAACTGAATTATTACTCCTAATCTTTACTATGATTGACCAATTTCCATTCCTCTCCTGGATTGATTTGTTAGGTTCCATTCATTTCTAATTTGCTTTGTCAAGTTACATTTGTGTCTAGTTTTGATTGATCAGGTTACATTTGTGTCTAGTTTTGATTGATCAGGTTACATTTGTGTCTAGTTTTGATTGGTCAGGTGACATTGATTTCCTGTTTTGATTGGTCAGGTGACATTCATTTTCTGTTTTGATTGGCCAGGTACCATCGTATCTTTTGGGATGCGATTGTTACATGCTGAACTGCCTCACTACCTGGGACGATCACAGGAAGCTTTGGATAGACTCCATTACATACTAGCAGTCACACAAAAGGTTTGTTGGAGCGTTGGAAACATTTCATATATCAGACCAACTCTTTTACATAAGTAAAGTACAGTGAAACCTGCTCATACAAACACCTCTATTAAGAGACCACCTGTGTAAAGATAACACTTTCCTAACACTTCAATGTGTGGATTTGCTACATTTCACAGGAGTCATTTCCATTAATGGAAATGCTATAAGGTAAAGTTGTGGATGTAGATGATTTGACTCTCAAACTGTATGATGTGCGTTCCCTACCTCCTCCAAATACTTGATTTCAGACAAGACCTCATCATTAGGCCCTAATTGTTCAAATTTTATTTGCAAAACAAGAAGTTGGCATAAAATGGGTAGTTGTAAAAACAGTTGATGCAGACAAAGTAACATATCCTGAACTCAAATGTGAACTAATAAACACACTGTTGGAGATCTAAATGGAAACATTTTCACTAGGTATAATAATCATTACTTTATATTATGTCTACAGATTATCAAGAACCTGGATGAAGGTTTATGTGAAGATGGCAGTGCAGTAGAAATTTCAGAAGAAAGTAGAAAAGGTATCAGTATAAAAGTAGTAGTGTGTTTTCTATCCTATTAAAAGTGTGACTTTGTTAATGTTTTAGACATATAAATGATGTCATTTAATCTCCGAAAGATGATGTCTAAATACACAAAAAGTTTTATTAAGTTTTAATGAGACTTGTTTCCTCCGTATAAACATTTTATGAATTATCTTTCATTAGGGGAAAAGGTTGTGTGTTGAACTGGGGCCATCACAACTTCCTGGGTACATGTCAGTTTTTGCACCGTAACTAGGGTCCAGCATCACTGATGCAGGTGCCTTATAGTAATCACAGTGATACTCTGTTTGTCCACCTTTTCATTTCTGGATATTATCTTAGAATCCAAAAGCACAATCTTTTAGAACTTTGATTCTAATGTGAACAACCCTGTTGAACTGTTGTGGAGGAGAATTTTGCACTAGGTTTAATCCTGCTGGAGATTTAGCTGGGTATCCAGGGCACTTCAGTTAGGTTTAATTCTCCTGGAGATTTAGCTGGGAATCCAGGGCACTTCAGTTAGGTTTAATCCTGCTAGAGGTTAAGCTTGGTATCCAGGGCACTTCAGTTAGGTTTAATTCTCCTGGAGATTTAGCTGGGGATCCAGGGCACTTCAGTTAGGTTTAATCCTGCTAGAGGTTAAGCTTGGTATCCAGGGAACTTCTGTTAGGTTTGATCCTGCTGGAGATTAAGCTTGGTATCCAGGGAACTTCTGTTAGGTTTGATCCTGCTGGAGATTAAGCTGGGTATCCAGGGCAATTCTGTTAGGTTTAATACTGCTGGAGATTAAGTTTGGTATCCAGGTCACTTCTGTTAGGTTTATTCCTGCTGGAGATTTAGCTGGGCATCCAGGGCACTTCTGTAAGGTTTAATTCTGCTGGATATTTAGCTGGGTATCCAGTGCACTTCTGTTAGGTATAATCCTGCTGGAGATGTAGCTGGGTATCCAGGACACTTCTGTTAGGTTTAATACTGCTGGAGATTAAGCTGGGTATCCAGGGCACTTCTGTTAGGTTTAATCCTGCTGGAGATTAAGCTTGGTATCCAGGGCACTTCTGTTAGGTTTAATCCTGCTTGAGATTTAGTTGGGTATCCAGGGCACTTCTGTTAGGTTTAATCCTGCTGGAGATTAAGCTGGGTATGGACATGATGATAACACCATGCGATCTGTCAGTCCCTCTGGTTTTCTTCCTTAGTAATAATCCTGATTGGTCCTCTGCACCATGTCACAGCTTGCATCTTAACAAATGTAGATACTGTATATATCATACGTGATAAAAAGAATTTCAGAGAAACAAAAAAGAAGAAGAAGAAATTGTTGAAGAGTTTTTGGAGGGTTATAATTTATTTACCAATTCAAAAACACACCTTTAAATGGTTTTATAAATAAACGCAGAAGTAAATGATTTACAGACCTATACAAGTAAATATCTGTGTGATTGTTTTATTTCAGTGTCTAGAGAGCTGTGGTATTCACGTGAGAAGAAAGTCTTGTTTATCATAGGAAACACGTTTTTAGCTATAAAGGTATTTATTATGTGTACTGCTTTATCTTACAAAGATATTTTCTCATCCACACGTATACTTGTTTTAATGTTAAGCTGTGCAACTGCACACAATCTCAGTAATGACATGCTGCACTGTATCACTCATGTGGTATCAATTTACAAATCCTTTTACTGTTTGTTTACCGGGTATTTAATTGTGTAGTATTCATGCTGTCTTGAAAAATGATGATAACCTATCAAAGAACACATTATACCACAAACAAGTTATGATTTATGTTTATGTCGCATTTTATTTAAATCAAATGATATAAACAGGAATTCACTCTATTACAAACAGTTCAACAACATTTTCCCCATATAATGTTAAAGAGTTCCTATTTCAGGATTATGAAGCTTCCATGACAGTGTATGAAGCACTACTTGTGAAGGACCCGCAGTCTAAGCCATCTTTGCTGAGTGGTCTAGGACTTATTTACCTACAGGTAAATATTCACCACATTATGTAGTTGTTGATCCAAGTTATGAAAATCAATACAATACAATAACATTGTGTAGATTGTTGCCGACTTCCTGTTATTACTACACAATGCCATAACAGTTTGTATAGGTTGCCATATTTATTCGATAAGACCGTGGTGGCCGAGTGGTTAAGTGGTCTGACCATCAAGGTCTTCCTCCACCACCAAAACCTGGCTTGTCCTTAAATGCACAAACCAAACCAATCAACATAAGTCAAAGCCTTGTAGTAAGTACACTCTCATAATTATCTAGTACAGTTAAATAGAAAAGCTAAAAGATGGTATTTTATTGGTCTGTAATAATAAGCCCATTTCTCTAAGTTGTGTCAAAGATTTTAATTTGGCCTTTGGGCTTATTACAGGATAAATATGGTAATGAAGTCAATGTTTATTTCTCTCCTGCATACACACACACAAGCACATATACACACACAAGCAGACATACACACACACAAGCACATATACACGATACACATAGCTGTTAATAGGACGTTAAACAAAACTAAACCAAAAGTAAACAGATTTCACTTCACAAAGTATTATTTTTGTGGTCTTGTAAAAAATATGCCATTCCATGTTGTGTTTAATTTTGTAATTCTTACCTTGTATATGTAAATAGATCATTGTGTTGCTGTATTAAACTTACAAATTCCTCATACGCCAAAATTTCAAATAGAATTACAAGGAAAAATTATCCAATACAAAGAATGTCATTTTCGTATGTCGGTTCCATGACAATTTACACCTAGGTGTTTGCCCTTAGTTAGTATGACAGGTAATTTTGTCTGCTACAAAATGGTAAGTTGGTCGTATATGTCTTAAACAAATGAAGAAAATTGTATTTGATGGCATAAATCAGAAATATTTAATCTAATATGGATTGATGCTTTACAGATGGGGAATGTTTCCAAGGCGACAGACTGTTTCAAACAAGCAGAAGTGTTGACTGACATAACAGATAAGAAACAGACGTGTAGAACTTACCTTAACAAGTACGTCATCTATCTTAACACTTTTACTAGGCAACTACATCAACATTGTCAGTGGTATATAAGGATGGCCTCAATTTATGTATACAATGATGGTATGATTTTCCATATTTAGACAAACAAAATATTAATCTTTATTTCATTATATGCTTGCGAATATGCAAGAACACTCAGGTCCAGAGGATTAGACTATAATTTAAAGATAACATATATGGAAATGACAATTTTGGGGCTTGGATCATGGTTATCTGAGAAGAAGGCAGAGTGTTAAACACCTGGCCAATTCAGCCTATGTATTACCTTCAAATAAAAATGACTTTAAATGTATGGTGGAGACCAAGTAAATGACAAAGATATAGGTTGGTAACTAAGTTTATCAATCATATCAGTGAAATGTAATTCACTTTTGTCAAAATAACATCAATTTGTTAAAGATAATCTGCTTTGACAATGCCAACATCAACCTAAGTATCTTAACCAATTAAATATCACAGAAACAAGTTTGTCTTAATTAGTCAACTTCAATGAAATAAATCATCATGAAGTTAAAAACATTGCTCAATTTATTCTTAAATATCTTTGTATAAATTTCACAATTCATTCTTTCACAGGGGACTGGAGTCTATGTGTACCAACAGTTTCTCCGACGCATACCAAAATTTCAAAACAGCAGTAGAACATGATCCAACGAATGCCTCTGTAAGTGTCTTCTCCACATCACAGACCAGATTATTGTTGTTTCTGCACCAGGCAGTACACAATTAGAACCTTCTCAAAGCTTTGTTGATCGTGACACTTTCTGTTCTTGTCGACACACATGTCGTGAAAGTTTGTTACAACGCCACATGTTAACTTGTTTCATGTCAACTTGTGAACACACACTATGGTTGTGTTACCTTTCATCCAGTCTAGACTTCTAGATAAACTTCTGGTGGATGGTTGCAATTCTTAGAGGAAGACAGTGCCTGTGACAGTTCTTCTGGAATTATGTAACGGTCATCACGAGGACCTGAATGGGTGTATACCTGCAACAAATAAATATAGTCAATAGATTTAATTAAATGTTGTTGTTTTTTTTATGAAAACAACAATCCCTTTTCTGTTCTGAGAGAAAGATTTATTCCAAAATGCTTAATACAGTCATGAAATTATCTTCAGATGTCATAATTTTCATGACCATTTTTGCATTATTGATCTTTTGATTTTAATTTAAGACTGTTTCTTGATCCCTCCATAATAACCTGATTACATATTTATTTTATTTTATTGAATTTATTTGATTTGATTGAAATAACCCTGAATTTATATATTTTCCAAAATGATCCACGCTTAATACTTTCCACCCATGTATCATCCAGTATCATTAATTTATACTTTGCAGGCTGTGAACAACATGGCAGTGTGCTCCCTGTACCTGGGAAAGCTAAGGGACGCCCTGAAGACCCTGGAGGTCTTGGTACACGAGGACCCGATACGGAACCTCCATGAGGGAATTCTGTTTAACCTGTGTACCCTGTATGAACTGGAATCATCTCGTGCCCTTCACAAGAAACAAGCGTTACTAGACCTGGTCAGCAGGTACAAGGGTGACGGGTTCCCTGTGGCCTGTCTCAAAATGGCTTGAAGAAGCCGGTGCAGATACGATTTTGTTTTTAGAGAAGTAGGAGGAAGACGCTATTTATGTCAATCTTAAAAGAAAGTGAAAAGTGAAGCTTGGTTGGATTTCGGGGTGTGTGCAACCCTGGGTCTGCCAATCAACATATTAGGAGAAAACTATCAAGTATGACTGTGATTTTTGTTCATTGATGATGTTTTTGAATTCATTCCATAATGTGGACCAAGTGCTGAACTTTCCCAATGTGCAATATTTGTGTCAGAAATATTTGTGTTGTAAGAGTAGTGTTTGTGTATTAAAATATTTACAGATCAAGCATCTGATTTTTTTTTGTTCATGGTTAAGAAAGTACAACAAACCTTTATACTCAAGTTGGCAAAAGTTCATCTGCCCAGGAATACCATCGCTTGTCAAAATCTTTCACATCCATTTGTTTCTGTTAAAATAAAACAAAATTAATGTCAAAAACAATACAAAGTGTATTTTTCAAATATTTCCAGATATGTGTTAATATGTGCAACAAATTTAACCCTACAATTCTAGGAATACGACTAGGTAGCCTTTTTTACACATGAAGAATTTTGTCACTTTGTAAGAGAACTGGGGCTTGTTCGTTCATGCAGATCCACCAGTTTGTAAACTTTTTAAATGGACTATTTCAGGGTACAACCTGACAAACCTGTTAAGTTAATGCAGGCCTTGAAAGACTTTGCCAAGGCTCGCTAGAAAACAACATCAAACCACCAGGTCCGTCCCTATTTCATAACAAAACAATTCTGGTCCAACCAGTCCAACCATTTTGAGCACAATATTGAAAATGACTAGTATTCATTACTGACCTGTACAGAGTTATCTCCCCCTTCGTGTTGCTCCACCTTGGACATATCATGACTCAGAAACTACAAATACCAAAGAAAGACTTGTCAGGATGTCATATAATAATTTTAGGTTTTTGTCCAGGGTTTTGGTCTATGTTGGGACTTTCCGTTGACCTCATCTGTAGAATACTGAAGTTGTTTTATGTGTGCCATATATAAGCTGTATGTGCCCAGAAAACCCTTGTAGGTCTTTCAATGTAAGGCAAGCATAATTAATTTGTTTGTCAATATGCAGCATAGGTGCCATTCTAAAATGGATTCTTGGTGAATTATATCATTTCCAGGAGGAAAACAGGAGAGTAAAGCAGGCAATGTTAAAACCTCAAAAACAAAGTCAACTTGTCTCAAATCCTAATCTTTTCCCCTGTGTACCTGCTTGGCCTTCTGTATCAGTTCATCGCTGGCATTTAGGTCTGAGATTTGTTGTCCTATCTGAAATCAATCAGATGACATATTATTGAATAAACAGTAGAATTTTACATCTGACATTTTTGAAAGATCCATCCAATACTTCTTTAGAGATAGTGATAAGGGTCCCAGGACGGACAAAAGGTGGATATAACACCCCACCACCCTAGAAACAAAATCCCAGTAAAATGGTGTCCACCTTTTTAGGGATTATATAATAATTAGTTTCAAACTGAATTTAATGTATTTCAAGAAACATCTTAAATATTCATGTTTTTGTGTTGAAAATTATCATTAAAATAAAATGAAGTTTTTAAAACTAAAAACAAACTGAACACTTTTACCCATTAATTTATACATATTTTGCATACAACATTATCTGTTATATTCGGCACAACAACATCAGTTAAACACACTAACCTGTTTCAGATAGCTTTCATTTCTCTCTGCCACAAACATTCCAACAGACCTCCGGACACTGGAGTACACTAGTCTAAATAACAAAGGACACACAACAGTTGGGATATCTGATCTAACAGCTGTGAGAAAAAACAGTCTAGATAACAAAGGACACACAACAGTTGGGAAATCTGATATAACAGCTGTGAGTACAACAGTCTAGATAACAAAGGACACACTACAGTTGGGATATCTGATATAACAGCTGTGAGTACACTAGTCTAGATAACAAAGGACACTAAAGTTGGGATATCTGATATAACAGCTGTGAGTACACTAGTCTAGATAGCAATGGACACACTACTGTTGGGATATCTGATATAACAGCTGTGAGTACAACAGCCTAGATAACAAAGGACACACTACAGTTGGGATATCAGATATAGCAGCTGTGAGTACACTAGTCTAGATAACAAAGGACACTAAAGTTGGGATATCTGATATAACAGCTGTGAGTACACCAGTCTAGATAACAAAGGACACACTACAGTTGAGATATCTGATATAACAGCTGTGAGTACACTAGTCTTGATAACAAAGGACACTAAAGTTGGGATATCTGATATAACAGCTGTGAGTACAATAGTCTAGATAACAAAGGACACTAAAGTTGGGATATCTGATATAACAGCTGTGAGTACACCAGTCTAGATAACAAAGGACACACTACAGTTGAGATATCTGATATAACAGCTGTGAGTACAACAGTCTATATAACAAAGGACACACTACAGTTGGGATATCTGATATAACAGCTGTGAGTACACTAGTCTAGATAACAAAGGACACAATAGTTGGGATATCTGATATAACAGTTGTGAGTACACTAGTCTAGATAACAAAGGACACACTACAGTTGGGATATCTGATATAACAGTTGTGAGTACACTAGTCTAGATAACAAAGGACACACAGCAGTAAGGATATCTGATATAACAGCTGTGAGTAAACTAGTCTAGATAACAAAGGACACACTACTGTTGGGATATCTGATATAACAGCTGTGAGTACAACAGTCTAGATAACAAAGGACACACTACAGTTGAGATATCTGATATAACAGCTGTGAGGACACGAGTCTAGATAACAAAGGACACACAACAGTAAGGATATCTGATATAACAGCTGTGAGTAAACTAGTCTAGATAACAAAGGACACACAACAGTAAGGATATCTGATATTACAGCTGTGAGTAAACTAGTCTAGATAACAAAGGACACACTACAGTAAGGATATCTGATATAACAGCTGTGAGTAAACTAGTCTAGATAACAAAGGACACACAACAGTAAGGATATCTGATATAACAGCTGTGAGTAAACTAGTCTAGATAACAAAGGACACACTACAGTCGGGATATCTGATATAACAGCTTTGAGTACACTAGTCTAGATAACAAAGGACACAATAGTTGGTATATCTGATATAACAGCTGTGAGTACACTAGTCTAGATAACAAAGGACACACAACAGTAAGGATATCTGATATAACAGCTGTGAGTAAACTAGTCTAGATAACAAAGGACACACTACAGTTGGGATATATGATATAACAGCTGAGAGTACAACAGTCTAGATAACAAAGGACACACAACAGTAAGGATATCTGATATTACAGCTGTGAGTAAACTAGTCTAGATAACAAAGGACACACAACAGTTGGGATCTCTGATATAACAGCTGTGAGTACACTAGTCTAGATAACAAATGACACACCACAGCTGGGATATCTGATATAACAGCTGTGAGTACACTAGCCTAGATAACAAAGGACACACTACAGTTGGGATATCTGATAAAACAGCTGTGAGTACAACAGTCTAGATTACAACGGACACACAACAGTTGGGATATCTGATATAACAACTGTGAGTACACTAGTCTAGATAACAAAGGACACACTACAGTTGAGATATCTGATATAACAGCTGTGAGTACACTAGTTCTGATATAACAGCTGTGAGTACAACAGTCTAGATTACAACGGACACACTACAGTTGGGATATCTGATATAACAGCTGTGAGGACAATAGTCTAGATAACAAAGGACACAACAGTTGGGATATCTGATATAACATCTGTGAGTACACTAGTCTAGATAACAAAGGACACAACAGTTGGGATATCTGATATAACATCTGTGAGTACACTAGTCTAGATAACAAAGGACACACAACAGTAAGGATATCTGATATAACAGCGGTGAGTCCACTAGTCTAGATAACAAAGGACCCACCACAGTTGGGATATCTGATATAACAGCTGTGAGTCCACTAGTCTAGATAACAAAGGACACAACAGTTGGGATATCTGATATAACATCTGTGAGTACACTAGTCTAGATAACAAAGGACACAACAGTTGGGATATCTGATATAACAGCTGTGAGTAGACTAGTCTAGATAACAAAGGACACACTACAGTTGGGATATATGATATAACAGCTGTGAGTACAATAGTCTAGATAACAAAGGACACAACAGTTGGGATATCTGATATAACATCTGTGAGTACACTAGTCTAGATAACAAAGGACACACTACAGTTGAGAGATCTGATATAACAGCTGTGAGTACACTAGTCTAGATAACAACGGACACACAACAGTTGGGATATCTGATATAACAACTGTGAGTACACTAGTCTAGATAACAAAGGACACACTACAGTTGGGGCTGTGAGTACAACAGTCTAGATAACAAAGGACACACCACAGTTGGGATATCTGATATAACAGCTGTGAGTACACTAGTTCTGATATAACAGCTGTGAGTACAACAGTCTAGATAACAAGGGACACACCACAGTAAGGATATCTGATATAACAGCTGTGAGTACACTAGTCTATATAACAAAGAACACACTAACGTTGAGATATCTAGCTGTGAGTACACTAGTCTAGATAACAAAGGACACAACAGTTGGGATATCTGATATAACAGCTGTGAGTAAACTAGTCTAGATAACAAAGGACACACTACAGTAAGGATATCTGATATAACAGCTGTGAGTAAACTAGTCTAGATAACAAAGGACACACAACAGTTGGGATATCTGATATAACAGCTGTGAGTACAACAGTCTAGATAACAAGGGACACACAACAGTAAGGATATCTGATATAACAGCTGTGAGTACACTAGTCTAGATAACAAAGGACACACCACAGTTGGGATATCTGATATAACAGCTGTGAGTACACTAGTCTATATAACAAAGAACACACTAACGTTGAGATATCTGATATAACAGCTGTGAGTACACCAGTCTAGATAACAAAGGACACACTACAGTTGGGATATCTGATATAACAGCTGTGAGTACAACAGTCTAGATAACAAAGGACACACTACAGTTGGGATATCTGATATAACAGCTGTGAGTACAACAGTCTAGATAACAAAGGACACACTACAGTTGGGATATCTGATATAACAGCTGTGAGTACAACAGTCTAGATAACAAAGGACACACTACAGTTGGGATATCTGATATAACAGCTGTGAGTACAACAGTCTAGATAACAAAGGACACACTACAGTTGGGATATCTGATATAACAGCTGTGAGTACAACAGTCTAGATAACAAAGGACACACTACAGTTGGGATATCTGATATAACAGCTGTGAGTACAACAGTCTAGATAACAAAGGACACACTACAGTTGGGATATCTGATATAACAGCTGTGAGTACAACAGTCTAGATAACAAAGGACACACTACAGTTGGGATATCTGATATAACAGCTGTGAGTACAACAGTCTAGATAACAAAGGACACACTACAGTTGGGATATCTGATATAACAGCTGTGAGTACAACAGTCTAGATAACAAAGGACACACTACAGTTGGGATATCTGATATAACAGCTGTGAGTACAACAGTCTAGATAACAAAGGACACACTACAGTTGGGATATCTGATATAACAGCTGTGAGTACAACAGTCTAGATAACAAAGGACACACTACAGTTGGGATATCTGATATAACAGCTGTGAGTACAACAGTCTAGATAACAAAGGACACACTACAGTTGGGATATCTGATATAACAGCTGTGAGTACAACAGTCTAGATAACAAAGGACACACTACAGTTGGGATATCTGATATAACAGCTGTGAGTACAACAGTCTAGATAACAAAGGACACACTACAGTTGGGATATCTGATATAACAGCTGTGAGTACAACAGTCTAGATAACAAAGGACACACTACAGTTGGGATATCTGATATAACAGCTGTGAGTACAACAGTCTAGATAACAAAGGACACACTACAGTTGGGATATCTGATATAACAGCTGTGAGTACAACAGTCTAGATAACAAAGGACACACTACAGTTGGGATATCTGATATAACAGCTGTGAGTACAACAGTCTAGATAACAAAGGACACACTACAGTTGGGATATCTGATATAACAGCTGTGAGTACAACAGTCTAGATAACAAAGGACACACTACAGTTGGGATATCTGATATAACAGCTGTGAGTACAACAGTCTAGATAACAAAGGACACACTACAGTTGGGATATCTGATATAACAGCTGTGAGTACAACAGTCTAGATAACAAAGGACACACTACAGTTGGGATATCTGATATAACAGCTGTGAGTACAACAGTCTAGATAACAAAGGACACACTACAGTTGGGATATCTGATATAACAGCTGTGAGTACAACAGTCTAGATAACAAAGGACACACTACAGTTGGGATATCTGATATAACAGCTGTGAGTACAACAGTCTAGATAACAAAGGACACACTACAGTTGGGATATCTGATATAACAGCTGTGAGTACAACAGTCTAGATAACAAAGGACACACTACAGTTGGGATATCTGATATAACAGCTGTGAGTACAACAGTCTAGATAACAAAGGACACACTACAGTTGGGATATCTGATATAACAGCTGTGAGTACAACAGTCTAGATAACAAAGGACACACTACAGTTGGGATATCTGATATAACAGCTGTGAGTACAACAGTCTAGATAACAAAGGACACACTACAGTTG